AAGATCAGACAGCTAGCTATTAAAATGGAAGTTTCAGTATTTAAACCCAGGTTTGTGTGAATCTATAATCTGTTCTCCTAATAGCCATAAAGACTCAGTGCAAAGATGGACTTGGACAGTCAACATATTAAACATAGGAGGAAGAGACTTGGCCAAAGGGAAAACTACAAACAAAAGCAATTTTGAAAGAACTTAGGAAAAAGTTGGCCAGAACACCACTGGCCAGCTGTGTGCTTTAGGCACATGAATTCACCTTTCTGAGCTTTGGTTTCCTCACAGTTAAATGGGGGTAGAAATATACCTCACAAATAGTTGTGAGGATTAAGGGAAATGATGTTTGGCATATAGCAGGTGCTCAGCGAATGGTGGGGTTATTGATGCCATTATTATTAGCATATGAATTTCATACTAATATAAATTAGTATCATTCTTTTGAGAGGTAGTGTGGTAGAATGGAAGGCGTGGACTTTAGATTCACTCAGACTTGGGTTTGAATTCTTGGTGCCTCTGATCAAACCTATAACTTTGGGCAATTTTCCTAAACCTTTGGTTTTTCCTCTATAAAATGGATGCAGTTATCTCAATTATGCCTCTATCAGGATTAGTGTAAAGATGAACTGAAATAGTATAAGCAAAGTGCTTACCACAAAGAAGGTACTCAATACGTGATGTAACTGCTACTTTAAATATTTGTTGATATAGAAATGTATTCTGTTAATATTTGTAAAACAACTTTCAGTTGCTTTCATGGGCCCCTGACTCACTGTTGTCACCACTCACCCTGGGGTTCTGGGTGTGTGAAGATACTCATTCCATATAGATTTCTCCCCAGGACTTCAGTTCTCTGTAGCTGCGCAGTCCCCTGGTTCTTGGCTCCTGAGCTCATGGCACAAGTATTTTTGTAACCCACTGCAGCAGCTGTGTCCTCATTCATTCATTCATTCACTAGCGTCACCACCTCCTCTCCCATTTGCTGTGGAGCTATTGCTGCTTTTCATTTGCTGATTGGGAGGGAGTGGGTATTTGTGGATACAGTCCCAAAATAGATTACTTTTGTTCTGATAAATAATGCCGAGCATTGAGCATCGAGCATAGCAGGGAAGAGGAATCACATTTCCCAGAGCTGAAAGGGAGAGTTCACGCTACAATTTGAATGTCTTCCAGAAAGTTATCAACCCTTAATCCTGGCTTTTAGATAATTAAATCCTTTGCTTTTGTAGAGACTCAGAAATCTGAATGATTAAAGTGAGGAAAAATCAGTGTCCTCTAGATCTTTCTTCCCATCCAATTCTTCTGTATGAGGTAACCCACTTAATATATTTTCTTCACTCATTTCTATTCTGTTTGTCACGGTTGGTAGACCTTGGGCCTGGAGGAATCTTTTTTTTTACGTTTATTTATTTTTGAGACAGAGAGAGACAG